ATATTATATATATAATATGTTGTTGTTTCCAAATCCCTTTAGCTGTGAGCATTTCGCTCTTGGCATCGCAATGCCTCCCTCAAGTAACCACATGTCCTTATGTCCTTGTGTGTGTGTCTGTGTGTGTGTGTGTGTGTGTGTGCGTGTGCGTGTGTGTGTGTGTGTGTGTGTGTGTGTGTGTGTGTGCTTGATTCCAAAGGAAGCTTCCCTGGACAAACTGGAATGGATGGAATGATTCACATCATCAACTCACATTATTAATATTGCAATACCCCCTAATTAATTTCTTCAATCAAGAGAACTGAAGAGTTTTCAGAGGTTGGGACAATAATAAATTGATTATGGTTTCAACACTTTAAAACTCCCAGAGCTAATCCACGGTCAAAAGTCAAGGGCAGGCAATGTCAGAATAAATGCATTTCTATTACTTATAATGTACTGCAACAGCCTAGTCCGAACACAAACTTTCATGTCATAGAGCATTAATTTTAATTTGCGGAGCTTAACTTTTCTAAAACAAGATGCCTCCTTCCTGAAAAAATACCTTTCAAAATATGAAAACAATAAACTTGTTCAGCTTTTGAACAAACAGTACATGATGAGCTCTGGATTAAATTTAAAATGTCTCCAAAAAGCACTTGATATATTCATAAAAAATAAATAATTATAACAAAATCATCGTTCCTACCTCAGCAGTGCGTGCACTTGTTTAGTGAAAAAAAAAAGGAACAAAGAAAGAATAACAATCATCAAACGCATATATAGTACAAAATAGGATACACAAAGATGCCTTCACATGATGTTTGTAGTGCTGTCAAATGCCTCTAGTAACAGGGGTACATTTTACTTCAAACGGTCCAATGCACACAAGACATCCCTTTCCCAATAGTTCGGAAGGAAAAAATTTTGTGATGCACTCTTCTGCCATCTGGTCTACAAGCAATTCATCTGTAACAAAGCTTACATGTTTTGAAACCAAAGAAAAGTTATCTCCACCACATTTCATGACTTTCCGCACAATGATTTCTTCCCCCATGTCAGTCAGAGGATCTATCACTAAGTCCAAGGCCTGGTCAGAATCGTCATAACAACAGGTATGGTGATCTTCATCCTCAATCCCTTTGTGCTCTCCATCACTCGTACTGTTGTGTTCATGACAGTGAATGTGTGGCTTCGCCTTCAGACTGTACTGATGTCTGTCTTTTGAGATGAGAAGTCCAGTAAAACCTTCGCAGTCCTCATGGCAACACAAATAGGCCACACCAGTCAGATCGTACCCATTCATGGTATCCAACTGCCAACAGAATATGAATAGCAAAATTAGGAATTTGTGAACTTAAGTTAAAAGAACGAACTGGCTTTTCCAAGACAGGGAGAGGAACTAAAGAATAAACAGTCTTTTCAAAGGCTAACACTGCCCGTGCAGACAAATGAAAGACTTCCAAAATTAATTAGCCAGATCAACAATAGTACCCCAATGCCATTACCAAACATCGTTGCGATCTAACTGACAGCTAAATAAATTTGAGAGTTGCATTCATTCCCATCATGAGGCACAATGCCAACAGTAGTCACATTATAATATATAGTCGAACCAGCCATGACGGCCACCTGTATATTAATAATACGCCACAAATACAAGCGTCCAATGAAGCCATGGCCACCCTATTTTATAAAAATGATCAACCGAAATTACCTGTCGTGATGACCACCCAAATCTCTCATCGCTCGACTCTTTGTCATACATTATGTATAGGCCCCTGATGCTGTGAACGAGCCATCATGACTCATTCACCTGTCTTTATTGTTAGTCCTTCCAATGTCGAATCATGTTGGGTAAGACCCACCCACAGTAGTTTACCCAAGTTGACCATGCGGTTACAATAAATTTTCAGCTGCTGATGAGGGAGGGCCTGCGGTCCAACATAAACTATAATAAGCCCTCCCACAACTCATACACAAATCGTAAGTGAGGTGACCGGTCACTGTTTACCCAATAACAATGGATGTGAAGCATCGCTTGTTCTCCGAGAGGTGGCGACCCATTTGTTTATTTTACCTGTCTTCCTCGTCTTACACATTTAATTTTTTTTTTACCCTTGCACACTGTCTTCCTCATTTGATACATTCTGTAGAATTTCACATTTATCACAGCAGTCGCAAGACTTCGTCTCTCCGCATAAACAAACATATTTCACACATATTCTTGTAAGTCCAGTCGCTGACGATGACATCAGTGTAGAAATCTAACCCATGCCCTGAGTCTGAAACCAACTCCAGGTGGGGACTAAAAAGGGAATGTTTAAAACAAAAACAACAACAACCCCCTTCCCCTTAAAAAACAAAGAGACAACCCCCCAACAAACAACAACAACAAAACAATAAAACCAGCAACAACAACAAAAACCTTCCAGAAGTGAGGGTAAAGAGGTGATGCCCAATGCGCGAGATGCTCATGTCAGTGAGGTACTCACTACTGTACTGTGTTGGAGACTACACTGTGCAGGCCCTATGTGACCTACTACTAAAGCCTAGTGTGTTGATCTATATATTGTTCCTTGGCGGGAGTGCGACTTAATGAAGAACTCAAAAGTAAAAGAGTCCAAAACATCACTGTTTCACATACTTTGGATGCAATGAAAACGCGGGGTTGAATATTTTCTAAACCATAAATGATAGAGAGCGATTCTGAAGGCTGCGGGGCCACCACATATATTCTTCAGTTTAGCAAGGCTGCTTAAGTAGAACAGAGAAACAATTAGGAATTAGGAAGAATTTCCGTATCGAGCTACCACCCCAACAAACACAATATAAAGAGACCTTCTAACCCTAATCCTGGCCCAACCCCAGTTTAACTCCTACCCCTACCCCAAGCCCTCAATATTGTACTTTGTTTCATAGTGGTCACCCGTTACGGAATTCCTCCAAGGAATTTTCTTTTCTTTTGGTTTATCATTGTTTTCAGATTAACCGTGTTTGATTTAAATTTAAGGTGACTCCAAACATACAGTGGAACTCCGATTCAACGAGGTCGCTGGGCCTGATCTAAAATCTCGTTGAATCCGAGTGTTCGTTATTGCAAATATGAGGTTTTGTGTAGATACTTACAGGCACTGAGCAAGTAATGTATAAAGAGAAGTAACAAGTGGTGCCTGAAATGCCTGCATATTATGAGCAGTGCAAAAAAAAAGACCAATTAATTTAAACGCACGCATGTGTAGCTGTGTAGAACCTAGCATATACGGCAACTTTTAGATTTGATTCCATAGACCAGCGCACAATTCATTACGTAGACTGCATCAAGACTAGCTTATCATTGTAATATTGATCAGATGCCGGGGGAAACCGAATGTTGATATCTGCGACGTTTCACGCCTGGACCGATGGTGCCCCCCTCTCGACACGCACACACAGTCATACATGTGCAGGCCGCCTATCTGACCTCGATACACGCTAGAGTAGACACGTGTGCATGCCAACAACGCATGTGTTGGTACGAAAGAAGATCGCTGATAAGTCGTATTCAATCGTTTAGGCGAATAATGGTTCACGATGCAGGTGCAATGGATGGTTTTCGGGAAGAGATAAAGTTCGTTGTGGGAGAAAAATGAGTCAAGCCGCGTCTGCTGGGGGGGGGGTGTTCACCCTGGAAGCGACCTCGTTGAATCCGCGCTTGCTGATTTAAGTGCTCGTTAAACCCGGGTTATTTTTATTGATTTTAAAGAAGTAAAAAATGGGCAATCCATCTCCTCTCATTGAATCCGAGCTCGTTGAATCCAAGTTCCACAGTATCTAGTAATTTAATAAGCTAAATGTATGTATTAATACAGTCGAACCTGTAAGATGGGAATCGCAAGGGAGCCCAAAAAATATTTGGTCTTAGACAGGGGAATTTAGGGACAGATGGAAAAAAAGGGGAGAGGGGGGGGGGGGGTTCAAAGGCCCAGCCGGTGGGATCAAGGATCGCTTGTCCGATCAGAAAGCAGTGATCAAAACTTCCCACCTCTCAATACTCAATTGCTATCCTGTCTGATAATGACATGCGTCAGTCTTACTATACAATTACCACCATGGCTTGCCTTTCATAGGACCATTGTTTGACCTATAGAAATGTTTGAACATCTCCTTTGCTTCCACCCTTAGCCCCACCCACAGGTGTAACAAGCAGTCAACCAATGCCACCCCTCACTGCCATCATGTAACAACTATTTGAGGAACTGTTTTCTACGCTGGCCGTACGATCAGGGTGGCAGGCATTGGTCAAACTAATTTAATCACACCTCTAGCTTCTGGCTACCCAGGAAAGTTTCTGTGTAGAGGCTCGCTACTCGAGCAGTCGTGAGATTTCATACCCACACTACCCTGACCATCATCAGCATCACTCATACAGGTTTCCGTTTTTTAAGGCAGGTTCCACTGTACATTATTACCTCTCTCTGTATTTACTTCAAACTCTTACTAAGAGGCTCTTGTGGCCTAGAGGTTTTAGAGGTGTTCGCCTCTCATTCAGAGGTTCCGGGTTCGAATCCAGGCAGCGACTTAAAAATTTTCTTCTCTAAAATTGTCTCCTTTCACCTTCTTTCCTTCTCTCTAGCAGCAATGTTCTATTGTCTGCTTTCGTCTCCACTTTCTGCCCCCACCCCTCACCTCCTTTGCCTACTCCTCTGGGCTCCTGACTCTTACTGACTGGAAGATCAATCATCAGGGGTGTAGCTGAAAGACAGTAGTAAGAAGGAGCCAAGAAGTAAAAAGAAGAATATAAAGGCTGCTACTTTTCTAAGTCTACTTACACTCTGCAACTGTTTAGGCCTAGACTAGTTAATGAGTAGACCTAGAGGCCTGGATCTGATCTTGACACTTGACATGCACACTCACTGCAACATTGCTACAAGACTTTATAGGATAGTCTGGGCCAAGAAGGCTTAAGGTTGGATAAAATTTGACTTGAGTTTATGTGTTCAAGGAAGGTCTTTTTCGTTAAATGGCAGCTAGAAAATAATCCAAGTTTTACAATCAGCTCAACGGAAGTTTAGGTCTGACCTTCCTTATTTTCGATAGCCTGTGCCCAGGGTTGTAGAAGGGATTTCAGGTGAGTTACATATCAAGGATAAAACATTTCTTATACAACAATCGGTCTGATTTTCTAGAAAGGCTTTTTTTTTATCGAGACTGCGGGTATCACTTGGAGAGGCTATTATTTTTAGGGTTGTGACATTCAAAGGCGTAAGTGTCCTCGTAAGAAGATTCTTGTTGGTTGTTAGAAGTGCAAGTTGGAAAGTACGAGTTCGTTGTTTACAAAATGTTATAACAGAAGATCTAGATCTAGATCTAGATCTAGATCTAGATCTAGATATATCTAGATCTAGATATCTAGATCTAGATATAGATTCTAGATCTAGAATCTAGATCTAAATCTAGTTTTTAGATCTAGATATATATAGATCTAGATCTAGATCTAGATTCTATATATATATAGATCTAATTCTAGATCTATCTATAACATTTTTCATCATAACAGCTGACTCAAGTGGAGACTTGACGTAGATTAGATCTAGATCTACGTAATGAATTGTGCGCTAGTCTACTGGAATCAAAAGTTGCCGTGTATGCTCAGCTCTACACAGTGTAACACAGACAGCAACACAACTTTTTCTTGGTAAACAATTGAGATGACGCAGGCTTTTGGGCACTTTTTCGGTAGTTCCCACCCCGCAATTTTGAATTGTTATTCACGGGTTTTGGCCCCAAGAATATGGGGGTTTCAGGGGGGCTTGCCCCCCTGACTTAAGCCCCCCTTACTTAATGAAAAGCGTGTATACAGACCCGGTAACCGGGAACAAAGTCACAAAGTATACAGACCCGGTAAAGGTAAAGGAACTCTTTTGTGATTTCGGAGAGTTTTCAGCGCCCTCTTGGCTCAGGGTAGACCTAGGTTCTTCTAGATCTATGGTCTAGATCTAGATCTAGATCTAGGCAGACAAACTTAAATCTTTGATCTAGTTTCGCGGCTAGCCTAGATCTAAATGAAGATTGCGGATGTCTTTTCGATGAACGATCGATTTTTCTCCTTTTTGGAGTTGGAGGAATCACAATTTGAAGAAAAGAACAAGTTACAATGTCATAATTTCAATCGAGCAGCCCCCCCCCCCTCTCTCTCTCTCCTCTGTGTATCGCTCGCCTTCTCTTTTTCTTTGTTTGTCTCTGTCTTTCTTTGTCCCCACCTATTTCCCACTCTATCTTTCTTTCGTTCCCTCCTGCCAACTGGGGCATGTCATATAATACATTTTGCTAGCACCCCCCCCCCCTCCTCTCTTTCTCTGTCTGTCTCCCCCTCTCTCTCTCTCTCTCTCTCTCTCTCTCTCTCTCTCTCTCTCTCACACACACACACACACTAGATTTCTACTGGGTCTGGGGGCTGAAACTTCCCGAAATCACAAAAGAGTTCCCCTACTGGGTCTGTATACTTCGTGACTTTGTTCCCGGTTACCGGGTCTGTATACACTTCGTAATGAAAATAAGTTGGGGGGGTTTCAGGGGGGCATACCCCCCTGAATTTTACCTCAATTTAATGTTTTGCAGTTGTTAGGTTTGATATCTCAGCTCGCCGCGAATCAAACGTATAGATCTAGATGTAGATCAGATCAGGCTCAAATAAGGGGGGTGGGAACTACCGAAAAAGCACCGCCTTTTGTGTATTTGAGCGAATCAGTCTTTATTTTTTTACACAGCTCATAATATGCAGGTGCAGGTGGTCTGCTAATCTTCAATTTTACCCTTTTCTACAACAAAGAAAGTGGGAAACATGGGGGGGGGGGGGGCGTATCAATGAGGCGGCGGGCATCGGATCGGCAGAAAAGATGTGAAGGAAACTTAAAAATGGCGGAAAATTGGAAGCTCTGAACGTTAGATTTATAGATCTAAGACACTTCCTTTTTTCCGGACCCGAGTCCGAATAAAAAATTTTCGTATTCGGACTCGAGTCCGAATAAGAATTTTTTTAGGCTGGCACTATTTCTCCAAACGTTCGGGAAAATAAAGCTGGGCACTATTTCTCCGAACACTGAAATCACATCCTTTCCCGCAAATTTCGGATATTATATAGACTAGGTCTATAATTTTAGTATAGGCCTACCAACGATTGTTCGTACAATAATGGTTCAATCGGTCCAAAAAATGTCCGCAGTAAATATTTATATAAAGAAATGCTACAGTTCCAAACAGTTTTTCGCTACAGATATGACATGTTGCCTATGAAGGGTGCTGCTCTTAAACTTATTGTGATGTGTTCACTCGTGTGCTGTCTAGATCTAGATCTAGATCTAGATCTACAGAATCTAGATCTACAGAGTGTTATTGATAACGACACATAGAACTAGCATCTGCGTTTGTCGCGGCCATGACCAATCAGTCGTGGTTCGATTTTTTGGCATTTTTTGGTCCCCGAATCAGGGAATAAAAGGCAAATAAAAAAATTTAAAAAGAAAGAAACCGAACCTCTTTTACTTTTGAAAGAAAGTTCACCTAGCTTCACTTCGTCTCTTTCTCACTTGTTGTCACCACGTTGATTTGTTGAATACGTTACAGTTACTTTTATTTTTCCTTCTTTGTGGTGTTTTATTCTGTTAGTGTGTATTTTTTTCTGTCGTGTTATTGTTCTGATGTATTGTTTTTCTATCAATTTTTTTTGTTGGGGAAAAAGGGGGGGGGAGGGGAGGATGTTGTATAGTGTAATGTCATTTAATTTGATGTTCCTACATATTATATATAGATTTAATTGTTATGTTAGAGCGTACGTTCCACCAAAACCGATTACATGTACTGACACTGGCAGGCCCCTTAATGTGTGTGATTCCATAATTTACATGTAATATCCTGTACTTTGTTTTAAAATTACGCACATTTAGGGTTAAAACAGCCAATCTTCTTCGGACAGGTGGACTCACGCCCTTATTTGTTAATTTTTGTGGTTGTTTATGGGCTGTTCTAATTTTGATTTCATTCGGTTATTGTGAAACCTTTCTTTTTCACGTTTTTACACTCATCTAAAAACCTCTAGACTAGCTCTCGAAAATTGAAATAGATATAGGCCTAAAAATTTGCTCCTGTGTGTGTGTGTGTGTGTGCATGTGCGCGCGTGTGTGTGTGTATGCATGTGCGTGTGTCTGTGTGTGGTAGTAGGTGTGTAAGTGGAGAGTGAGGAGCGTGTGTGTGTTTGTTTTTTGGGCTTTATTTCAGCCTTTGTTCAGTAACAGTTCAAAGTATACAAAAATTGAAACACAGGATCCATTCACTCCAGGGCTCATGAGTCGTTCCTCTCTTTCAGTTTCACTCATTCATTCAATTCCCGTGTTCTCTCCTGTGGCTCATCCCCGTCCGCATGACTTTCACACCCCACCCCCTCCCTCCAGGCACACACAAAGAAAATCTCACCCATTCCCTTGCACCCTGCGAACCATGGACAATAATATAGGCAAAACACTGCCTTAGCCGCATTCCTTTCGTTCGTGAGCTGTGGACCAGGCTAGGGGGGTCGGTGTCGTTGTCTTGTAGTTGCTGTCGCCTGTGACACTCGTACATTCTTCCTTTCACCCGCTCTTTCACTCACACTGTCTATCCATCCACAGCTCAGCTCGTCATATGTTCAAAAGTTGCCCACTGATCATGTTTAGTTAGTGTGAGTATAAGTTTGTGTGTGTACATGTGCATGATGGTGGTGGGTATTACTGAAGGTTGTCTGTAGGCGGGCTTGCCATGCGGTGTTCCTTCCCAGACCAGAGGCAGAATGAAAGTTGGCGCGGAACTCTAGCAATAAATAGGCAAAAAATCAAGAGACTGGAAGCCGGAAACCGTTCGGAGAAATAAAGATCGGCACTATTTCTCCGAACGTTCGGAGAAATAGTCACTTCGTTTTTTTTTATTCGGACTCTAGTCCGAATATGAAAAAATGTTATTTGGACTCGAGTCCGAATAAAGACGGCCTTTTTTTAAATGTAGTGATGAAGCATGCACATTCTGGTTTTGTCCCCAAGAGGAGCTCTATACTTTTCCTTTTACCAATTTAGGCCTGGTTAAAGTTCAGTAGTGGCTTTCCTTGGTCTGTGAGTCTTAATTTAAAAAAACCCAAAAAACTTTTGGCTCTGGAGAAGGAAAAAAAAAACTCCTTCCGGGACCGGGATTCGATGCCACGCTTGTAAGCACTGAACATTAGACTTACAGAACATAGACAGTAGACAGCTTGTATACGTTCTCTAGGCCTAACTTAAAGTTCGAGTTGCACCGCCTTGTTATTGTTATCCAAGCGTCTTTCGACTTAAACTTGCTCAAACTCTAACTCAAATGATTATGATAGAGATGAACAAGACGTCTACTTTTGTGCAAACAATGTCAGAAACAATTGTTAGATCTAATCTAGATCTAGATTTTTCTAGATCTAGATCTACCCAATATTGATCGGAATAAGACAATGTCATAAAAAAGGAGTCAAATCCTAAGAGGTTTATAAAAAACTGAGAAAGCTTCCACAATTCAGGCAGAACTACAGTATTATCATGTAGAAACGATGGCTACTACATCTAGACCTAATTCTAGTACTGGCGTTTCAAATAGCATGGGAGCTATTCAGAACGCGGCGTTGCAAATAGCGCTTGCCTAAACTTAAACAGCTATTGATTGGCCTGACGTCAAGAAGCGCCGTCCTTTCGCCAATTCTTTCCATCTCCTCTCCCTCCCCCCTCTCTCTCTCCCCTCCTCTCTCTCTTTCTCTCTCTCTCCCCTCCTCTCTCTCTTTCTCTCTCTCTCTCTCTCTCACACACACACTCTCTCTCTTACTCTCTCTCTGTCTCTCTCTCTCCCTATCTATCTATCTATCTATCTATCTATCTATAGACTATCTGTCTTTCTATTCATCTATTTACCTCTATCTCTATATCTCTCTGTCTCTCTCTCTCTTTATTTCTCTCTCTCTGTCCGTCTCTCTCTCTCTCTATCTCTCACTCACACACACACAGACACACTCATTCTCTTTCTCACACTCACACTCACACATACACACACATCATTCTTCTCTAACTCCCGTTTGCTTGCCTCTGTCAGGGCCAACCCTGGCTGAGAGTGGTACAACGTCTGTATTACCTGTCCTGGACAACAACGTCATTGCACACAGGACAGGTCCATAAGTGCTCAGTTTCCCCTGCACCAAAGCCCGCAAGATATCCATACTGATTGTTCCGGTGGCTGTCTGATTATGGTGACGTCTTTCCTTTCCAGATAATTGTTCCTTTCTTCGTTTTCCCCTCTCTATCCCCATTTCCCGCATCCTAATGATTGCGTGGTGTTCTGCTGTCTCCCTGTCTTCTCCATCCTGCAACTTTTACTCCAGGGTCTTCAACACTTCTCCTTTGTCAAATTTCACCTCCCCATCAACCACGGCACTACCTGCCCGCTTATCAGCCTCCTCATTGCCTTTCACTCCAGAGTGCCCATGACAGAATAACAACGTGATGGCTCTAAGTGATGATGAGTGTTGTGTTGGGTTCATCCATTCACTCCGAAGAAGCCCTTTCTCAACCCTTCGCAAGATGCTCTGGGGGTCTGTGACAATCATGAGATGGGTAGTTCTTGGTCTTGTATTTTGAAGCCAGCCAAGCGCTCTTGTTATGGCCTCAATCTCCATTTTCATGCTTGAAGTCATTCTTATTTCTATGGCCCCTGACATGCTATGAACCTTTTTGTTCCCACTGTACACCGCAAAACCCCATCCATTTCTCTCATCCCTCCTGACTGATCCATCCGTATATATAACTGGGTCCTCTGGCTTAGAATGCACCTCAAGTAACTGTCGTATGTCATTGTCGTTAATGACAGCAGCACATTCCCGTCTTTCACGACCCATAGTAATGTGAATGTTGGCCAGGCTTCTGCAATCGGGGCTCAGTTCAAACCATTCCTTTCCACAGCATATTTCATCAATGCCACAAACTTTCCTCAAGGAGTCTTCGGCTTCTGCCATTCATGAGCTGCCCCGTTTGATCCTGTTTCCTTTGATGCTGCTTAGGTTGTCATGCAAAGGGTGCCTCGGGTCTCCCAAAACATTCGAGTATAGCTTTGCCTGTGCCTCCTTATGCCTCACTCTGATACTGGCCAGGTCAAGGATGTATCTCATACAGACAACATGGGTGTCCTTTGTGCAACCTAGAACAGCCCTCAAAGTTGCATTCTCTACTCTCTCCAACCTGTCAAAGGACCACTTTGACACAGAGTCTTAATTTTTTTAAATATTCCCCCAAAAAGGACAGCAAGGAATGTTTCAAAATTTTTGCTCTGAAAGTGTTAATGGGTTACCAACGCGTACTGCAAAGCCTTCCAAAGGACCAAAACCACCACATGCAGCACGGAAATCCTCGGGGAATTTTTGCCAAATTTGCTGTTTTTTATCGACTTGTGTGCGACACCACACTACTACTAGAGATTAAATCTAGATTAGACTAGATCTAGATCTAGTAACTATTATATATAAGTTACTTGATCCTTCTTTCACTGTACCCTCTTTTTATTCAGATATCAGTGGAAGAATTTGCAGTCAGATGATTGGGTGCACCCATTCCTTTCTTGCTTTTTCTGTTGAGTCTCTTCATCGACCAGGACAAATAATGCCAGTCATTTCCTAACCATGGGCAACAAACTGATAGGAAAATATAATGCCACACGTCGTTGCATTGCACTGCCTGCTCCGCTCTGCTTGCAGTGTGGCCACTGGCCACCCAATGTTAACGCCTCAGACAGCTCCGCTCTGCTGTGCCCGCTCTGCTTGCGGTGTGGCCATAGCTTTAGGTCATATGAGCGCGTGGGACAGAAAAACATTTCCAGTTTGTAGGAGATTTTGAATTTTCCAGAGTGGCAAGTTATGTTAGACAATTATAAATAAAATATAATAACGAAAAGTGAACTTATTAGGCTTAGTCATTGTATCTCAAAATCTGCGCCGACAAATAATTCATTGGTAATAGTAATAGACTGGCAGCGCAACGCCGCAGCATAGCCACTTGCTTAATTGAAACGTAGACTAGATCTAGATTCTAGATCTATTTCAACTAACTATGTATAATAGTAATAGTTACTAGATCTAGATCTAGTCTAATCTAGATTTGATCTCTAGTAGTAGACCTATTTACTTCTACATTAGGCATTTTTCGGACCCCAGGGTGTGATTACTCAGATTATTATTTGGACCTTCCTTCTTTCCGGCTTCCGTATTTAGACCCCCGCTGTCTGGGTTCTGGTTGGAGCCTGTATCAGTAAGGCCCTCTTAGCTCAGCGCATGGGCGCCGAGCATCATGCGTGTGTGTGTGTGTGCATCAGTCTGGTTGAGTTTGTGGCCTATTTGTAGAACTGCCTGCATTGGTTCATAACCGAGGCATACGTCTCATTCAAAACATGCCAAGTTGGTAGCTCTAGATGTTCGTCCAATGAATTTATAATAAAATTACCTATTTATCTACATGAGGAGCTCAGCGATAAGACTCGCATCTCGGCACAGACGCAGAATAGGAGTTAAGTCCAGGTTCTGTGTGTGTACTTTTTTTAGTTTGTTTTGTCTGCTGAACACAAATTTGACTCCATTTACATGGCAAATCATAGCCTGCAAACTACTTTCAGGGCGCTGTGAAAGTAGCCTGCAAACTAGATCTAGATGCAGTCACTGTGTTTTTCAAACACACAAAAACCAACTTGCATATATAGAGTTTTATGCCTCTTCACCACTGGTGAAAATAAACAAATGCTGCACATATTAATACATGTTCCCAGGGGTCTGAATAATGCCCAGGCTATTGGCTCCCCTGGAGTCTGAATAACTGCAGCCCTAATGTTTTCTCCTTATATTTTATCTTTTCAGTGCATGGATAAAAAATCTGTCTCATTTTTGGCGAAGTCCAAAAGATTCTGGCGAAGAAACTTTTTGTCAATAGCGTTCCCAACAGCTGTTGCAGTGAGCATTGCTTTGGATATCAAAAGGACTCAAGATTTCAAGAAAAAGAAAGCAATAGCGCCTGTGAATCCTCTCTGAAAAAGGTATTTTCCCAATTTCCTCCTATATTTAATTTGACTAACTACTATGGGGTTGCAATTGGTTATGATATTTTTTTTCACTACAACTCTTAAAGTAATACATGTATAAATTATCATGAAGTGTTAAGTGCTTCAAGGAAGCGTTAAATAAGAAAGAGACACAAAAATGCATATTGTCAAATGCATGCCAGAGAGAGGCATCGCCAGTGTATTGTGACACCAGGGGTCTGATTCATGGATCGAGACTATAACAGTCCCAGGCAATGACGAAGTCTGAGACTTCATAGTCCAAGACTAAGGGAAATCCGGGTCAACGAGAAGTAAGCTATTCATAGAGTCAGACTTCACCAACGAAGTGGCGAACTACGTGTGCGAAGTCTAAGACTACAGAGGTCAAGATGTGTTTATCTAGTTTCTTTTTCCGCTGCCCACACCAAATAACACAGAAGTATTCATTTCGGCTTCGTGTTTGTTTTGAGTTTTGAATCAGTTCTGATAAACCTTCTCCAACCTTTCGACTCATTCGGCTTTGGAATCTGCTATTATAAGGGTAAGAAACCTAATTTTTAGGATAAAGAGACTGCACTGATGCTGGAGGAGATTTCAAAGGAGGCAGCTTGCCTGTGGTCTGCCTTGCAAAACGCTGTGATGGTGATGAAAAAAAAAAAAGATTTGGGACAGAATAACAAATAAAGTGAATGCCATAGGAGGGAACGGAAAAGCGCAGGAGCAAATAAATGACTTTGCAGGCTTTCTTTTGTTTGAATAGTAGACCTGCTCGCAAGCAATAACGGCGCTGTTATGCCATGCCAATATACCTCTCAATCAGTGCTCGAGTTGCGCTGAGTGAATGATTGTACTGCCTTTCTCTGCAAGTACGAGGATTTCTGAGAGATGTCGTCAGCTATGGACGGATCATGCAACCATTGTCCCCTAGGATAATCCCTTGAAGAAACCTCTGGTTTCTTTCGTTTCGAATGCCTCGAACAGTGGTGACAGTCTGAGCATTCTAGCATCATGCACAGATCCAGGCCAATTTGCAACTATGTTGATGAACAGAAGGTCTGCATTACAAACCACCTGGAACAAAAGATGTTTTTTTTTTTGTGTACCAGTGCACTGCTGCACATTTGCAGCAACAAGAGCCTTTCCAATGGATCCCACAATAATGTTATCCATACAGAGAAAGAGGGAGTGGGGGGGGGGGAGACTGGGGGGGGGGGGGGGGAGACTTACTTGCACATTTATCGAATAGAAGTTTTTCCTGTTCACAAACTCGCTGGGTGCCTGGATGGGAACTTGTGTACTGTAGATGCACACGATTGTGTTCGGAAACTGTGCATTAAAAAACTTGGCTTTTGGCGGTGGACTGATTTGCCTCCTGCTGTGTCAGCATTCAGATGTAGTAGTTCTTCAACTGAAGAAGGGCCTCCGTGAAATTCTTCTTGAGATTTTGGTGATGGAGTACAGTTGAAATTGTACAAGACTGCAATCCATTGTCAAGGAGGAAAGTGGTTGTCTTAGACTGGTGGATGTCTGGGACAGTGGCTATTGAAAAATCACAAAGGGGGAAGTGGGAAGAGGTCATTTGTACTAAATTGTACAGATGGTTGTCTTGGGCAGGTGGCTGTTACAGCAGGTTCAACTGTACTTTTCCATTTAATCTGCAGACTGTTTGAGCAACATAAAATGTGACTAAATTGAAGGAAGTAAGGCCTCCTGGAGAGTTTGATTAAAGTCCATTTGGTCACTCTTGACAATATAAACTAAAATACTCCCTTTTTAAGTTCACTTGTACTGGACAGTGTAAACTGTTAAGTCTACTCATTTACGTTACAGACGGTGTTTTCTGTATTCGTTGAAAACATTGTAAATAATGTTCAGTTTGGCTGTGTTCTAGGTTTCGGTGAAAACAAGCTATGTCTGTCAAAAATGTGGTGATGTTGGGCCTGAATGCCTCAAGTCACTATGTCATTTAACCGCAAATGTTGTAGGTCTTTATTTTTGTAAACTTTTTTCACTTTTTTCAAAATTTTATCTCCGATACTGTAGGCCTACTAGGACTACATATTATTGTTGAATTTTTTAAAAGAGTTGTTTTCTTCTCTCAATGTCCTATAATAAATAATATATATAATAATGAATGATTTTGCCTGGGTTCCTCTGATATAAGTTATAGGCAGTGCTGAGACCTGAGCTGGCTTTATAAGAAACAAACATTCAGCAGGACATGGTTATTCATATTTGCAATTTGTAGCATCTGACTGGCTATTATATTTAATTATCGTAGGAAAACCTGTTAAAAATGTCTCATCTGACACAGCGAGAGAGAGAGATAAATTTATAATAATTACAATATTTGTGTGTGTCTCTGGTCCCCCTCCCAACCAGTTTTAGTGGTAATTAATCGTAAAAAAGTGATGGGTTCCTTCTCCTTTTGGCTTTGGTAAGTCTGATATGCTATAGTATAAAATATGAGTTTCAGTGTTAATAAGGACTTTGCAGCTCATCATGCTTTCCGTGAAGTGAATTTCCAATGAATAGAACATATTTTGAGAACTGTTTGTCCTTTAAGTGGAGGTTAAAAGATACTTCCCTTTTTTCTCCAATTCTCCATCAGTAAAGAACAAACAAAGTTTGGATGTATTGTAAGTGAATCATGACTGATGACGTATAAATCGACCCAGGTTCATTCATCACATGTGTTAAATGGATTTCAGTTTCAGTGAATTGCGACCCTGAAGTACAACTGACAATGTTCTCAGATTTAATTTCTGTCGGTGGGTAGGGTTTGTCACTTCTATGTTTGACTGTTGCATCAAGATTTGTTCGATCAAATTCTTTTGTTTCTGTTTTTGATGTTGGAAATTAGTGGCATTTTGTTGTTTGAAAATTTTTCAGATTAGCCCAATTACTCATATTCTTTATTCTACATCACTTCCCATAAAACAGGGTAAAATTATTGCACACCAGGATGATTTTGCACAATTTGCATTAAAATTATTTAAGTTAAAATATGCTTTGATAAAGAGAAGGGGTACCTATCCCCTTTTACTTTATACAGTGTTTTTTCTGTAAAAGATAGTATAAGTTCTACTTTCACTTTGGTTTACACTAGATTAAAAAGTAAAAGTTTGACTATGATCACAGGGGATCAGCTTCAATTTTGCTATTGAAGGGTGAGATGAATGTTTTTTGTGGGTACCACATCTAATGTATTAATTTGCCTATAGTGTGGTCAGTTTAATAGATAGCAATATTATTTATTTCTGTATAAAAATGTATCTACTCTAGGTAAATCACAGTGGCCAAGTGCTAGAGGTAGACATTGAAAACTTTGAGAGGATTTGTTAGTTTGATAAAAATTGTTATTCCTTGGACCAGAAGAAAAGGGCAGTCTTAGGCCTCACCTAAGTATAGTCAAACCCTGTTTTACTGCCAACTTTGGGATAAGCATAAAGTTGACTGTATGGGGGGGGGATGTTAATATAATGTTTTAATGATGTCCTCTTGTTAAAGCACCCCTGCCCAATTTCAAGGAAAATGATTCTGCCATGAATAGATGAAGGACTCAATATTATGCAACCTCTTTGATATTATGTTATTATGAGTGATTTCCCTTCACCCGAAACTTGCTGGGATGGCCTTTTGGCTTATTATACTAATATATCTGTATTATGAACAGCTCGTAGAGTCGTATATATGGAAGAAAGGGGGGTTTGACTGTCTACGTTGATCAGTCATTGTTTTTATTCTTTTATCTCCCTCAACTGACTGAAGTTGACTGGATGTTGCCTTTTATAGTCAAAGGAAGAAGGAGAAGAGAAAGTCATGGGAGACAAAAATGTAATGAGACAAGGGCCTGCATCAATTTCTTTTGATAATTTGTCCTTGTTGTTTCCGAGATTGCATCACAAACAAAATTTATATTCTGAAGCAATAGCAGTTTAGAGCATTTGACGGTCTTACTTTGTGAAGCTTCGTAGTTTTAAACATCCTTTTAACCTATTTGTGAAAAGTCACCCCATTTTTTTTAAATTCCAGGAAAGGGATGAAACAGGACCCATCATCATCATTTCAAAATATTTTCTTAATGTAGTTTTGTTGTGGATCAATTCATGGGAACGTGTCTGTAGAACACACAAAAAGTTCTGCTGGCTTTTTAATTTCACTGCAAAATTGGTAACAATCTTAGTTTGATGTAATTTCACCCCATTTTTTTTACAATATGAATACTTTTTTTTGTTTCTTATATTGTACTTCTTCTTATCTTTCATGTTTATCTGTTTTTGAAAATATAGTGCTGACGTGGCAGGGCAGAAAACAGGCTTGTGAAGTTGCTGTCACAATGTCTCACTCTCATCATTGTGGTGTCATTTATTAAGGGTTTAGGCTGTTGGATTTGTATTCAGAAAGTCATGGGATCAAACCATGTCGGGGGTCTGATGTTGGGTCCTTCAGAAAAACACTTTACCTGAATTTTCCTCACTTCGTCAAGACAGGAATGGGTACCTGACTATAGATCATGTTCGCTTATTACTTAATGCTAGTGTTTGATTACACACTGAATCAGCTGCTTATGTTGTATGCCTCTGGGGAAGCAGCGAATGTTTCTGAGTAGTCCAGTTCTAGGGTCTGTTGGAGTAATGATACAGTTTGTAAAGTGCATAGAGCTTGTGTTGAGCAGGGATGTGCATGAAATAAATGCGATTTAGATCTATCATTATTGTTACATGTATTATGATCGTCTAAGCCAGTTTTGCCAAAATTGCGGTAATCAATTTCTTATGACGTTTGAACTCAAAACAAGCTTTTTTTCTGCTTCAGACATGGCTCTCCGCAAGATCCGCCCCCAGCACTATCGGATTCTGGCCAGCATGACAATCCCGGTCTTCTTTGGACTGTTTGGCATGTACCAACAACATCTTCATGACCAGGACTTCACGTCATACAGAAACAAGAGCAAAATGTTTGGTGGAAAGACCTTGCCTGCAGGAGAACAAGCATGGCACTGATTTAGCTACCATTTTTCATGCAATCTGTTGTACAAAATGTTTCTATAGCCACCTTAAGTCAGTGAAGTAATTGCTGCTGTTAGAATTAAAACTGCAAGGCAGGTTTTATTATGATGGTAGGCAGTTTGCCTTTAATTCTTATTTGTCAACAGTTACAAGAATCTGAAAGGTTGCGTAAGAAAATGGTGATCTCTTCTCCTTGACTCTTTGTTTTATCATGCAGATAAGATGTGATGATGGTTTGATTCAGTATAGAGTTATGATCAGTTTGGATCGAGATATGGGTGTTAACACTGTATGATGAAGGCATTGATAATACATTATATTGCTGTCAAACATTTTGTTTTGTGTGGTTTTATTTGTGGAGTACTTTGCCTTAAGACTAGTGTTGGTTTTGTGTTTGTGTGTATCTTTTGAAACTTTAACAGTATAACACGTTTTTGTTGCTGAGACATAGGTTGTTGCTGTTGAATGCCTCTTGTGATAAATTGAAAGACACTTCTTCAACACTGTTTTAACAATCAGTGTTGGTGAACAGGAGGTCCAAATAATTGACCAATGCTAAGCCTAGTTTCTGTGCTCAAACGTTCAACCCGCCTATCAGACAACAAAAGTTTCTTGATTTTCAACATATTCCCAGTGGGTGGTTGGCAGGTGCTCTGGTGTGGTTTGCTTCTTCTTTCCTATGAAACATCTATCGTACTAATCTCCCCTTCTTCTTTTTAATGTGTGTTACTCTCTTGTTACACCTCTAATCTTCTGGCGCTCATATGCAGTTGCGAGCGCTGTAAAACCTCTACTAAAACTAAACAACTAAAACACATTCTCTTCTGTTGTTGCTGTCACTGGTTGACCATCACGGTGGTCGTCTTCAATGTCCATGAATCTGCATTTGAATTTTTTGTACCAAAATTTTATCACAGCATAGGGTGGGCAATCAGTTCCATATATGGCATGCATCTCTGTAAAAATATCCTGTAGTTGTTTGCCTTAGGCAAGAACAAAAACTTCATTACCGCCCTGTGCTCAATTTTCTCAATTATTTTTTTTTGTTGAAACTGGAGAACAACATACCCCCATTCACTTACAGTGCGCTGGTGTTAAAACCAGTAATCGGAAATTCCCAAAATTTTTACATGCATTATAGGAACATGTTTGTTGGCTTTCACCCCAAATTTCAGCTTTCTTCCTTTCTTCCTTCATGGTCAGGTTTTTCGTGTGTAAAATAATTTACATTATGCCAAACTCATACTACCCTCTTTCTAAGTCTAAGGCTTGATTACTTGTAGGAGCAGCAAATATAAACGATTTGTCTTTTTATTAAAGATGAAGAATTTTATATCTGATTCATCTAAATAAAGGCTTTGCAAATTTAAAAAATAAAGCATTACGTGAAAGTGCTGTTTATAATCCGCAAGACGAAGCTGGTTTGAGCTAGGCAATTCGTATTCCCATCCTTTGCTAAAATATCATAGCTAGAGCTACATCATGCATTATACATAATTAACTTAAGTGGAAACCTGATATAACAGGGATGGTTTGACCAGAGAAAAAGCCCTGTTATACAGTGGAACTCGGATTCAACGAGGTGGCCGGGCCTGACCTATAATCTCGTTGAATCCGAGTGTTCGTTATAGCAAACATGAGGTTTTGCGTAGATAATTACAGGCACTGAGCAAGTAATGTATAAAGAGAAGTCACAAATAGTGCCTGAAATGCCCGCATATTATGAGCTGTGTAAAAAAAAAAGACCGATGCATTCCTGTGTCATCTCGATTGTTTACCACAAAGTTGTGTAGTTGTGTAGATCCTAGCATAACGGCAACTTTTGATTTCATAGACAAGCGCACAATTCATTACGAAGATCTATGTCAAGACTAGTTTATCATTGTAATAATGATCAGGTGCCGAGGGGAAAAAAAGACTGTGACACGTTTGTATCTGCGACGTTCAACGCCCGGATGGCTAG